TTTAAAATAAATAATATTTATTTATTTTAAAATAAATATTATAAATTAAAATTAATGATTTTAGATTTTGAAAAATCAAAAAAATATTTTATAAGAATTAAAATCAAACTATTTTAAATTTTAGATGGACGAAAAATATATAACATTTAAATTTAAATTTTATTTCTTTCACTTTTTTCTTCTTATTATTTGAAAATTTTAAAAATAAACATTCTTAAGATATTAAAATCTAATAAAAGATTTATTTTATATTTGTACCCAAAACACAATATTCCTAATTATAATAGTCCTAGAAAAATGTATTAACATGCCATAAAACGTTATCTTAAGTGTTTATCCATGTTTTTTTTTTCTTTCTAAACATTGATATCTTCTATCTTTCCATGGATCACTGATAACTACTTAATGTTTGCCTAAAATACCTTGGAGTTGAGGTGGCTTAATCTATCACACATGTATTGACATGTGTTAAGTATTTGTTGCAACATGATTGCTCATCAAACATTACATTCTCGTTGATCAACATATTCCTTAAAACGTGAATTCCAAAATTTGAATCCCTTCACAACTTTGGCATAACCTACAAAAGCACAACTTTTCAACATTAGATCAAGTTTAAATTTTTCATCACTAGATATATATATGCACAAAGGTAGGAAACCCAAAAGTTCTCAAATGATTAAAATCAATTAAAATTAATTGGTTACATGTGCATATATACTTCTTCTACAACTTTGCCATCTAATGAAGCTGCTTGAGGAGATAACATGCTATATTCACTATCTTCACTTGAATCCTTGGAAAGCTCAACATTCAACCCCATACATCTAATCCTTTCGGTGATAGACTTATTTATCCCTTTTGCAACACCATTTTACTATGCTATTTTACACTTTGGAAAATGTTTTTAAATATTATGTTTCTCACAAAATTTTTTAAACCGAGAATTTATATATAATTTAGGTCATTATCAAGCCTTAAATAGTTACTTTTTCTACTCGTCTCTTCTTCACTTTAGTCTTCCACAATTTGAACTTCTAAAATGCTTCATATTTTTTCTTTCAACAAATAAACTTAATCCTTGTGAGAAAAATCATTGGTAAGAGTATTAAAGTAATGGAAAACATCCAAAGACAAATTTCTAGTGCCCATATACATCAATATGCACATGTTTAGAATCTTTAGTATGACTTAACAATAATATATGAACTCTAGAATCTTTAGTATGACTTAACAATAATATATGAACTCTGCACTATTTTCCAAGCATACAATACTCGCACAAACCTAGCTTGCAACTCTCTATTCAAAAGACTTCTCTTATGAAATTTTGTTATCCCATGCTCGCTAAGATGACTCAAACACATGTATCACAATTTTGTGGTATTATCATTGAACTCAATAAAGACAACTCCACCTACAACCAATTCTTCCGATTAGGTTGTAAATATTGTGTACAATTCATTATCCTTTCATCATCGTCAAGGCACTCTACATTCCTCAAGACACCCTCAATGTCACATCATACGTAACAATTTGTACTTGTAAGTACAAATTGTTACGTATGATAATGATATGAAGGTGTCTTGACGAATTGTCTCATTCCAACAATAACACAAGTTTTATCATCACCTAAATAGACATTATCATGATTGTATGTCCCGTATGTGTTAAGTAACTATAAGTTTGGCATCATCATTCTTTATATTAAGTCATGGTAAATTATTTATAGTTTGATTAAAGACATGAACATGTTGTTGCAAATTAGAACCCTTGTATAACTTTAGCTTGTATAATTTGTTTATATGCAACTTGTTTGTCAATAACTTGGACATATATTAACTATCTAATATCTTTGATATACTTTTCTCTGAAATATTTGATAACATGATATAATATCGCTAAAACTAATATAATTATAGCAATAAAACAAGTTTTATCATCACCTAAATAGACATTACCACAATTAATAACTTTAAGTTTGGCATCATCATTCTTTATTAAGCCATGGTAAATTATTTATAGTTTGATTGAAGACATGAACATGTTGTTGCAAATTAGAACCCTTGTGTAACTTTAGCTTGTATAACCTTTTATTTATATGCAACTTGTTTGTCAATAACTTGGACATATATTGACTATCTAATATCTTTGACATACTTCTCTCTGAAATATTTGATAACATGATATATATATATATATATATATTATTTGATAATATTAACTGATATGCTAATGTCATATTTATTTATTTAATAATGAAAGTGAGACAATAACATTTAGACAAAATAATTCCTAAATTAAAAATGACAAATTAGAATTTCAATTAACTTAAATATAACTATAAGTCATAAGGTACTTCAATTAATTTGTAACAAAGATAAAAAATAAAAATATAAAAAAAATTAATTAATTAATTAAAAGTTTGTAAGTTATAGGCTATTCCAATTAGCTTATAAAAATATATTATAAATTCTTAAAAATATCATATATAAGTTTATTATGATCAAAGTAACTTATTATAAGCTTATTAAAAGAGTTTTGAAGATCCTCAAATGTCTAGCTAAAACACTCTTACTTTTATTATGGATATTGAATGAAAATATTTTGAACTTAATATATTAGTTATAAATATTTCTTAAAATATACGAAAGCTTTAAACATAAAAAATTATGGATCAAATAGAGTATTAAACGTGAAAAAAATGGAGTGATAATTATGTAAACGAAAGGAAAAATCAACGGAATATTTTGAAGTGTGTGTGTTTTCTAAATCAAGAAGCATTATAATTTTTTTTTTATATACAATCAAATACCAATGAATTAGTTGACAAGAATAAGTCAAGATCTTAATGTCATACACGTTTGTGTTTTTACTCGTCTCCTGTAGTGAAGTAAACGTAAAATCCTAGATCGATATGAATACTCAATTCGAAGGCCACAAGATACCTGTCCTTAAAATTCTTATAACAAAATCCGTTTGGTCTTTGAATTTTGGAGGTTTAGGATAAAAACAATTGAAATGCCACGTGATGTTGTAACAAATTCTCATCTAAAATATGTAAAAGCCTGTGTGGACCCTCTTGTTTGAACAGTCGCTCTTAGACTTTTTGTGATTTTAGATGAATTTTTTTTTATAAACATAATTTATACGGTACTAACTAAAAAAATAAATAAAAATTTCCATGTAAAATCACAGAGAAAATCAAGGAGAGACTGTTCAAAGAAGAGGGTCCACACAAGCTTTTGCATCTTTTTAGTAACGGCATTTTCTTCCCTTAATTCCTAACTTTGGCTTTCCCTTGAAATTAGAAGTTGGAATTACAGTCACAAAACTACAAACGCAATGCAATAATACACATTCATGGAAGTCACAATAATGTGAATGTGGTATATTGTATGTGATGATAATCATCTCATTATTTCATTTGTTTGGTTTGAACAGTTTTCATGTTTCTTCCAATGCAATGCCGTGCTGGCTAATCCAGGTGTTGAATGACAATGCATCCAGCCCTTCGTTTCATCTGCGCAGTTAGAACCTGTCAAAACTCTGGCTTTGCTTTCTTTTATTCAACACTGCACCCTTTTTTTCTCCCTATGTCATGGTTAAGTTATGCTTAGTTTTATGGGTACATACAATAAAATAATAGTATAATTAAGTGTTAGTATTAGTTAGTATTCTTATTCTTATTCTTGCACTTGCGTTCACGCGGTTTCCAACTTCCATGCCTTTCTTGCTTTATCGCTACACTTGAGGTAAAATACAAATTAGAAGCATAAATAGAAACTGCTATCATTATAGGTGTACCTTTTCTTTTGCTCTAAACAGTTTTTTTATGCTAACCAACAAGTTTTTAAAAACACTTAAATTTAGTCGATAGTGGATAAAGAGATTAATTGCATGCTTTCACACAAGGATTTCGCTTTCAATAATTAATGTTTCCTTTGTTATAAAACTAATTAAAATTATTAACACCATTATATGTTGAAACCCACTAAAAAGATCTTGTAATTAAATAAAGATAACCCTAATATGAGACAATTAACTAGCTAGCCCCGTCCTTAATTAAAGATGCGAAAACTTAACTGAAATTGGGGTTTTACAGCTGAGAGCAATAAATTAACATAAGAAGCCATCAATGGTTTAATGTAGAAACATTAACAGTCAAATTAGTCTCCTTTTAACATCAATAGGTGTAGGAAGTGGATGGCAGCAACTGAGATCAAACTTATAAGCTTATTATAATTATTATTATCACCATAAATGTGATTATGCATTAAGATAACAGTATTTTTTAATTTGCAGTTTTGTAACCGACACCTAATTATAAGACTATTGATTATTTGCTTGTAAATTCAAAGCAGTTTTAATAAACTTACTTGGGAGTCACATAATACTTTAATTTCATCAAAGTTAACGGATGAAGAAACTAGGAAGAGTGTTACTTTTACATTAAAACCAGCAACCTAATCAGTTTTAATACGCATTAGAAAAAAAAATAGAAAAGGAGAGAGAACCTTATGCTTGGCAGTTAAAGATTATTTTAGTTCAATCGTTCAGAGTTCAAACTGAACCACTTTAAGTTTATGCGTGGCTTATATTTAATTATGCACAAAATTTAGTAAAACCGACTAGTCAATTCTCATACCATTTCTTGTGTTTTCTCTTTCTGCATATATACTTCTACCTTTTTATTTCTCTGTGGTCATACTTTAACATCAAAAGAATTATTAAAAAAAAAAAGAATCTACCATATATTTAATTTTTTTAATATGAAAGTTAATGAGTTACCAACCCGCTTTGTTTCTGTAACAAAGAGCATTAGCTGTTAAATTAAAATCTATGAACTAAACCAACAAAGTTTCAAAGATGAAAGCTACGGGTTTGTGGTATAGTAACAAACCTTGTCCTATAATAAAATCATAAAACATAAAAAAGTATATTATATAATATTTATATTGCGTATAAAAGTATTTCATTGAGTGAGACCATTGGGAGAGACAGATGAATCTCATAAATGTTATAAATAATAAATCATGTATTCTGAATTTCTGATGCTTTAATTATGGCTATGTAATACGTATCATCTATCTATCTTCTCTCTGTTACTCAGTCATCACCTTATCAGAATTCATTCACAACTTCCGAAACCAAAGAGTTCTTCTCTTGTTTCGGTTTGAAAGTTTCCGATACATTTATAATTACTTTTTGACCTTGTCCCTCCTCTTTCTCGTTTGTTTTGTTTTTAAGGTGACTTAGTTTGTGTGGTTTGATTTAATCTAAAGATTTTAAGGTTGATGCGTCAGCGTGTTATTGTTATGGATCTCCTGAGAAGTGTGTTTCTTAAACGTTGAACAAAGCAGACTTGTCTTGAGTTTTCTTGAAGGCTTGGTTTAACAGCGATAGAGAGAGAAAGAGAAAAATAGCATTGTGAATTTGTTTGCATAATAAGAATCTGTCTCCCCCGTGTTGGATTTGCAACATTGTTGAGGAGAGAAGGATAAAGACATGGAGAGATAAAAAGAGAAGAACGGTATTGAGATTTTGCGGGAAATTCGGTGTCCTAACGTCAAAAAATAGGAGTCTTTCATTGTGGGGGCGATTTGCATTTTCGATTCTCTTTCAAAGGAAAAATTGCAATCCCCACAATCTCTCTCTCTTCCCTCTTTTTTTTGTTTTCTTACCCATCTGGGTGGTTTCCCTCTGTTTTTCAGGGTTGGGAGAGAAGCTCAAAACTCCATCTTCCCTCCCTCCTCTCTCTCTCTCTCTCTCTCTCTCTCTCTCTCTCAAAAACCATGATTTTTAATAAAGGGTCAATTCGTTCTAACCTTGACTGTTTCGTACGATGTACCACACCTGTGGTTCAATCCCAGTTTCTTCCTAAGGTCATGTCCTTTTATTTTTCCTTGTGATATGATATGATACGATCATAGATTATGTTGTTGTCCTAAATTCTGTGTTTTTGTGCAGTCCGAGATTACAAGCCTTAACCGCTTGTGGCATCCGTGGGAGAGAGAAACCGTAGAATATTTCACGTTGGGGGATCTTTGGAATTGCTATGATGAATGGAGTGCTTATGGAGCAGGAGTTCCCATCACCTTGACAAGTGGAGAGACACTTGTGCAGTACTACGTGCCTTATCTCTCTGCAATTCAGATTTTCACTAGCAATAGTTTCAGGTATGAATTCGATCATTTTAGTTTTTTTTTACCAAATTCAGCTTCCATCATGAATATCTCTATCAAGTACTTGAAAGCTTTTGCTTCTTTGGTGTCCCCAACATGTTTCATTACAAGAGGATTTTTGGAATTGAAATGGGGAAAAAGAGTTTTTTTTAGTTTTCTCACTTTCTGACAGATACACCATTTGGGTGATAATGTTTGCTATGGTCAAACTTCCACGCGGGTTCCATGATGTTGCTTTTGAAACATGGGTTGTTGGGCTTTTTGGGTTTTTGTTGAAGTGGTTTGGTGAATTATTGTGTGCATCATTGTTAACTTGATGATTTGGTAGCGTAATTAAGCTAGGAATTAATGCAAAAAACAAAAGCTGATATGAGTATTTCATTTCAGGGAAGAGACTGAGTCAGGTGACTGTGAGACAAGGGATTCCTATAGTGATTCTTTCAGCGAAGAGAGTGAGTGTGACAAGCTATGGAGGTGGGATGGAACTTCTTCAGAAGAAGGAGGGTCTGAGCAAGACTCTCTCTGGCATTTCAATGACAGATTAGGTCACCTCTATTGCCAGTATTTTGAAAGAGCAACTCCATATGGAAGAGTTCCTCTCATGGATAAGGTGGGTTGTTAGTTTAATAATTTTCTTTGCCTTTATCTTACTTCAGCACCTTTTCTCTTGTTCATCTATGTCTGTCCTGCTTTATGTGTTCATAAATGAGACCCTAACTAATTGATTGGGTATGGAAAATGGGAAAGTGCTTAAAGGGAACATGTAATTACCAAAAGCCCTTAATTAAGGATAGACATCCTTAGTAGATATATACATTGACTTTTCAACATGAGTGGAGAGAGGCTCATTTTTTCCTCAGATATGTCCAAGTGGTAATGGAAATTATGCATATTCCCTTTTCTTTATTTCATATCAATGTAATTGTTATGCGTGTCTAGCATATGTTCTTTATTAATGTATGTAGTTTTCTTTGCTTGGATTATTGCGATTGTTATAAAACAACAAAAAATATTCGAGTAGCATAACCAGTACACATAAAAACAAGAAAAATATTCGTGTAGCATAACCAGTAATGCACAAAAGTATAAAGATTCGATTGCTGACTTGCTGAGATGGTATCTTACTTTCAGATTACTGGATTAGCTCAAAGATACCCAGGGTTGATGTCATTGAGAAGTGTTGATCTTTCACCAGCAAGTTGGATGGCCGTTGCGTGGTAATTAATTTTGTCTCATCCCACCATAGCTACTTCCTTGAACATGATTTATTTTCTCTTTTCTTCTCTGTGTAACTCGGTCACCAAATTATAGTCCCAATGCTTAAATACATGTGTAATTGTTTCCAACGTACATCCTTGACCTTAAGCTTTCAAGGGTCATGACCATGAGCATTTATGAGTTATGACATAACTCATTAACGAATATACTTTTTCTCAGGTACCCAATTTATCATATCCCCATGGGAAGAACAATCAAAGACCTTTCTACTTGCTTTCTCACTTATCACACGCTTTCATCTTCATTTCAAGGTATTTTGGTTTGAAAATTTCACATCAAACATTGATATGACCAAAAAAGAGTGTATATAATGAGGATGTTTTAAATGCCCAAAAGAGCCTCTGATTAGCCTAGAGATTTGTAAATTTGTGAAAGAATATGCAGAAAATGATGGAAATTGTATTATTTGTCTAGGGATGGACCTAGAAGATGATATTGAAGGTGGCCAAGAGAAGCAGAAGGAAGGGGAAGGCATAGCTCTGCCAGCATTTGGTTTGGCAACATACAAGATGCAAGGAGGGAATGTGTGGGTTGGAGGAAATTGTGGTCGGGACCAAGAAAGGCTATTGTCACTATTGAGTGTGGCAGATTCATGGTTGAAGCAATTAAGGGTCCAGCATCATGACTTTAATCACTTCATGGGCATTCGGCATGGCTAAAAGGGTTCATCCACTACTCTACAAAGAATTCGCACTTGCATAGCCTAAAACCATCCTTTTCTCGGATGTTTGGTTTTTGTGTGCACTTTCTTGGACCATTAATTGCGCCTTTTATGTTTTTTTTTCTTCTTTTCTCTTGAGGGAGTGTGAGGGATAGTGTTGTTGGTCTTTTTAGCCCTTGAGAGCATTTTAGGACCAACCCTCTCGTTAGGTTCAAACCGAGAAAAAAAGGGTGTGACTCGTGAGTTACCTCCTTGCAAATTGCCTCAGTTTAAGAGGAAACTGTGTAGAGATAGGTGGAGGAGGGAGGTGAAGTGAGACTATATTGTATATCTTTTGCTATTAATCAGTCATAATGGTTAATGGATCTGACAAATGATGTAGAAACAGATTGCATATTTTTTTCCAATTTTTTCTTTATGAGTCTTCTTTCCGGTTTCCACCGGCAATTACTTGCAATAGTTATGCATTCTACTTGACCAATGACATCTCGTTGTTTTTGTTGGTGTGCGCACTCATTTAATAAAGAGAAGAAAAAGAAAGAATGCAATTAGGGGAATGGACGGTTGGCTCTTTTTGATAAGAGTGTCTCTTGGATTTTTTCCACATTCATCCATCTTGAATATTGGCTCTTGCTGTCATGCATGACAAATGGATGAGCTTCTGCTTACCCCTAAATATATGTGGCCATCAAATAACAAAAACTAAATAAAAACATAAATCATGTCAAAATTTTTGGGGTGCTATTAGTTTTATGCTCTAAGAGTAAATGAAAATGAGTAATGTAAACAATGATATTGAATGAGTGAATGAGGAAATCAATTGGTACGAAATTGTTCAAATATCATTTCAGTTTAATCAGTATTAAATATTCAATGAAAAATTATTGTCTATAGTAATGATACTCGTGAAAGTATCTTTAAGTGAATAATTCATTTCAAAATATATAACAAGATATTTTGATGTTGACGAGAAAATTGACCATTATAATTATGCATAAATAGAACAAAAATCAAATGTCTAAATAAAAAAGTTGAATGGCATAGTGATATTGTGTATTTGGGCTACAACATGTTCTCACGTTAAATTAACACAAATCCGATAAAATTATATTGTAAAAAAAAAATATTATCGATAATCAAACTTAATATTCAGAGAGTTTATATTACTTACATATCTTATTCAACTGAATTATACCTTTTTAATAACAAAATTGTGAATCTAAATTTCAGTGAAGTTAAACCAAACATGCATACCATCATTATACAATATGAGTAGGTATGGTAACGGGCGAGTTTTACCTTCCTCGCCTTTGCTCTCGCAAATTTAAATCATCCTGCTTTCGCCCTGATACTCGCGAGGAGTAAAATCTAGGTATTCGTTCTCGTTCCTAGTAAGGTTTGGGTTTCTCCAACCCCGCTCCTAATTTTTTTATTTTAAAAATAAATAAATATGAACAAATTTTAAAAAAATAAAAAAAGTAAAGTAATACAAATTTTTTACATATAAATATTTCTAATTTTGATTTATATATAAAAATAATTTTTTAATTATATTATTAAGCAGGACGGGGGTGAGGGTAGGGGCAAGAGCAGGGCAGATATTAACATAACCGTCTCGCCCTCGCTCCCGATTTTATCAATCGGGGAAAATCCAAACCCGAACCTAATAAACACGGGTTTTTCCCGTCCAAAATCAAAGCAAGTTCAGATGAGTACTCACGAGAATGGTTAGATTGTCATGCCTGAATACGAGGGTTTGCATATCTCTTAGATTTTAGATGCTCCTTTTTAATTTTTATTTTCACCGAATAATACACCTTTGTTTTTTGGGTCAAAATAGTCCTGCTTTTTGAAGCTACTTCCTGTGAGCGAAAAATTAATACTTCCTAGTTAATCAATAATTCTTGGATATAGAAACTTTAACTAGTATGCATACAAACACAAATTTTACACAAGGGAATTTAATTCAATTAGTTGAGTAGTTATAAATATTTTTTTATTTTATTTTTACGAATAAAAGAATGCAAAACAAATTTGATATGTCATCATTAAAGTCATTGATAAATTATATGAGAAAATAAAATAACAATTGTTTGCAAGTTATTTAAGTTTGTAGTGGGAGCAACAAATACCACTCTAGACTAGACTGTTGGTTTTGAGAAATTAGACTGTTGTTTTAATTAGAGCCATCGTGAGGTAAGAAAAATAAACAAAGGGACCCATTATGCGTCACCACGCGTTATATATATATAATCATTTTACCTCTTGAATTAAATGACAAATTCACATTCATTTTACCTGTTCTACGAGACAAAGGACAAAGAGAAGATATTGCGCCATGTAACATTTCAGATTTTTTTTTTTATGCGTTAACTCACAAATAATAGTATAATATTCTGATTTCCTCTATGACTTTTTTTAATTAAAAAAAAAAGAGAAAAATCATGGATGACACACGAACGAATAAATCAACAAAGAATATATATATATATATATCGGAAG